TAAGTACAAATTATAAAAGAAAAAATAATAAATTGGATTTTGTCAAAATAAAACATTTTGCTCTTCAAAAGACACTGTTAAAAATATTTGCAAACCATATATCCAACAGACTACTTGTATGTAATATTAAAAAGCACTCTTACAACTTGACAAGAAGACAAACAACTCAGTTTTAACACGTACAAAATATTTGAAAAGACATATCATCAAAGATATAAAGATGACAAATAAGCACAATAAAAGATGCTCAAAATCATTAGTCAAAAGAAATATTCAAATTAAAACCACAGTAAGAGAGCACTATACATCCACTAGAAAGGCTAAAATTAAAAAGACCAACAGATCAAGTAGTGGCGGGGATACTGAGCAAACTGGAGCCCTAGAAACTGATGGTGAATATGTCAAATGGCTCAACCACATTGGAAAACAGCTAGGCAGTTTCTCACCACTTAAACATATATCTATCATATGACTCAGCCATTCCACAGGTAGTTATTTATCAAAGAGAATAAAAGCATAAGAAATAAAAGCATAAAGACTAGTACACAAGTGTCCATAGAGATTTCATTTGTAATGGCCTTGAACTGGAAATAATCCAGATGTCCATCAACAAATCAATGAATAAGCAAATTATAGAATGAAATACTACTCGGGAATAAAAAGAAAAACTACTACTAATCCATGTAACAACATGAACGAATCTCAAAACAGTAAGCTAAGTGAATGAAGCCAAACAGTACAGACTGTGTGATTCCTTTTATACCAGTTTCTACAAAATACAAACTGTAGTGACAGAAAGCAGATCAGTGGTTTCCTGGGGACAGGGTAGTGGATGGATTACAAATGCACAAAAGGAAGCTTTGGAGGGTAATTTATATGTCTATTATTTGATTGTGGTAAAGATTTCATGAATATATACATAACATCAAAATATATCAATTCGTACACTTCAAATACCTATAGTTTAATGTACATCAACTATACCTAAATTAAAGCTGTTTAAAAATACAGTTTATACTATCAAGTGATTACATAATAAATTAGGAACGTACACACATAAAGAAAAAAGTCTAGAATAATTACATTTATTGTATTTTTGAAGGCAGTTAAAAGGTCTAGATTGAAGAGAAAAGATCAGCTTAGTCAGAGTAACATAATCAAAATTGGACCTGGGAGGGAAATTAATCTAATAGCAGTTGGAGCTTCCATTTTAGTGGTAGAAATAGACAATAAATAAGTACATGTATAGTATATGTCAGTTGTTTTTAAAATTATACAATGATAAAGAAGCCAGGCAAGGGTATAAGAATTATAATTCTTTTTTTTTTTTTTGAGATGGAGTCTCGCTCTGTTGCCCAGGCCAGAGTGCAGTGGCACAATCTTGGCTCACTGCAACCTCCGCCTCCAGGGTTCAAGTCATTCTCCTGCCTCAGCCTCCCGAGTAGCTGAGACTACAAGTGCATGCCACCATGCCCAGCTAATTTTTGTACTTTTAGTAGAGATGGGGTTTCGCCACGTTGGCCAGGCTGATCTTGAACTCCTGACCTCAGGTGATCTGCCCACCTCAGTGTCCCAAAGTGCTGGGGTTATAGGCGTGAACTACCAAGAATTACAATTCTTTATCATTAATTTAGTTGGCTCAGAGAAGGCCTCTGTGAGGAGTTCAGGATATAGCATGGTTACAGTTAAGATACAGTAAAGGACATAGTAAAAGAAAAATAAATGGAATTTATTAACAAGACACTTTTTCTCAACATCAAGAAACTTTCCACACATTTTCCAGCTATGTATGTGCTCAAGTGAGGCAATGATTTAATCCTCTTCCCTTTCCACCCCACACAAGAAAAAGCTATGCTTGATGAAATAACTTCTGCATCAGTGTAATATTCAAACATCTTACTTAAAATCGAGAAAGCGCTAAGCATAAAGAAGCCTACTGCCATATGGCCATACACTAATCTGAGTAGAACAGCAGAGTGGAGAATATTTAGTCTTAGATGAAAAGAAGAGACAAAAATAATACTTGAGAGGAATTAGTAAAGATAGCCCAGAGTCCAAAGAGGCAGATGATACTTTCTAAAAGACCTAAGAATGTGGTATGCTTTAGACACTAATACATAATCTTGGACTGCATTAAGGGAAATATAATGATAATAGGAAGGAAATCCCACTGCATTCTGTGCTAATCAAAACCAATCTACAGAGTATGTTTGTGTCTGTGTACATCATATTTTGGTACAACCCGGAAGACCTAGACTACATCTACAAGAGAAAAACTTGTGGGGGATTTAAAGCACATGTCCTGTGACATGTTATGGAAAGTCAAATACAGAACTGTAATCTGCAAAGAGATATAAGATGCATAAAAAAAAAGAGTTGCAGAAAAAAATACCACCTCTATTTATGTTTACTTTCATCTTAAAAAAGGAAAACATTAGATTTGATCATTTCTAAATATATGGATTGACAATGGTTCATCTGTTTAATTGACATCTTTTACATTTATGGTATATATTGGGGCTCTGCTCAAAATTTATTTTACTGATAAAGTCGCATTGTAAAAAAAAGAACTGGTCTGGAGAAAAGAAGACAGGGAAAATAAAAAACGACTGAGGTTTCACGGTAGTTGTCTTCAAATATTAGGAGGCTTTTATTATGCAAGAAGGAATACATTTATCCTGTATTTCTTCAGAGGCAGAACCAGAATAAGTGGCTAAAAATTGCTTATATTAGTAATATAAAAACTTTCCAGTAAATGAAACTGTCAAACCAGGGAATAGGCTGCCTTGGGAAGTAATAAGCTTCTAATCCTTCATGTTGTCAAGACAAAAAAGAGTATCTCTATACCATTAAAATTGTAAAAGAGATATCTAATTGCATAATAGCCTGAGCCAGAAAACTACCAAAGCTGCTTCTTACACACAAATAATTATATGAAGTATTTAATATGAATACTGTTGTATAATAAAGAATTTGACTGGCCTTTGTCCCTGGTTCCTGAGAGGGAGACTCTAAATCCTTGGATTTTCCTGAGTTACAGGAGTGTCTTTGATATGCTACTGAGATAACTCATTATGGACCTATAGATAGCTTCCGGATGAGGGCCGGCTGTGCCAAAAGACCAACTCTATAAGGAGAGGTGGAGCTTTGCACCATGGGATATCAGCCTGACCTTCTAACTTCTAGGGAATGGAAGCAAAGTAGAGACTGAGTTCTATCATGGGGCCCATCAATCACACCGACATAGTGAAACTCCAATAAAAACTCTGGACATCGAGGTTCAGTAGAGATCCCCAGATGGAAAACATATTGATGTGTTGGGAGGGTGACATGGCCTGATTTGATGGGTAGAGGACACAGAAGCTCTGCATTCAAGACCCTTCAAGACTTTTCCCTAAGTGTATCTTCCCTTGCCTCTGTCCTTATGTACTCATAAGCATAGTGCTTTTGTAAGTTCTGTGAGCCAGTCTATTGAACTATTGAACCTGAGGGCATTGTGGGAACTCGCAAATTTGTAGTTAGCTGGTCAGAAGTGCACATGGCCTGGAAAATCCCCTGAACTTGCGTCAAGGTCTAAAGTGGGGGTAGCCATATGGAAGATTGAGCTCTTAACTTGTGGGGTCTGTGCTAACTCCAGGTAGTTACTGCCAGAATTGAAATGCAGCAGGTGAGCTGGTGTGAGACCAGTTGGGATGGAAACATAATAAATGAATTTAATATATTTGCTCTACACATATTTGCTCTGAACTTAAATGTTGAATACAGTAGATCCCCCTTATCAGCGAGCGATATGTTCCAAGACTCCCAGTGGATGCGTGAAACCATAAATAGTACCAAACCTTATATATGCTATGTTCAAATTTCTTTTTCCTTCTTCACAATTTCGTGGATGGAAAATTCATTCTTACTGCAGATCTTTGCAATTTCAGCACACATTTTGTTTTCCGTTATTAAGTTGGAAACGTTTTAACTTTTTCACTGAAAGGATGTACTTTGCAGCTTCTCTTTGTCATATCCAAACTGCCAGCATCACTACTCTTGTGCTTTGGGGCCATTATTAAAGAAAATAAGGGTTACTTGAACATAAGCACTACAATACCATGACAGGTGATGTGATAACTAACCAAGATGGCTACTAAGTGATTAATGGGTGGGTAACATATACAGAGTAGGTACACTGGACAGAGGGATAATTCATAGCCAAGGCAGGAGGAGCAGAACAGCAAAACATTTCATCACACTACTCAGGGTAGCATGCAATTTAAAACTTATAAGTAGTTTATTTTTGGAATGTTCCACTTAATATTTTCAGACTGCAGGTAACTAAACTGTGGAACACAAGAACACAGATAAGGGGAGACCAATGTATAGGCATTCATTTCCTCATAATGCTAAAACAGACACTTTTGTACATAAAAAGTTGTGCATTTCAAAATACACAGAAGGTAAGCTCTTACTACAGAAAGAATACTAAATAGGTAGATATTTAATGTATACTGATATTATAAAGATTTGCATAATACTTAGAAAATAATAATGTTTTCATCATTTGCTACAAAGTGAAACAATTTTACAACAAAAAGGGGAAGAACAAAGCGGAAACAAAAATTTGGCACTTTTCAACAAAATAATTCTGCTAAAAATATTAGATAGAAAAGTATTAATTCTTTGTGGATACAAATTATAACAATGTAGTGTGTTAACTATTACCTTGGTCTACAAATTCATGTCTACTAAGAGCTAAACAGAAGGTTTGATATTTAGCATTTATTAATAGTAAAAAAAACCCACATAAGCAGATTGTATATATCAAAAATAGTCAAAATATATCACCTCAGATTATTGATTAAAATTCATTAGCAGGTCCTAGAAAAATTTTTAAATTTTTATACTAATTTAAATATATTTTTCACAAATAAATGTATTTTTTCATATTTCACATGTGAAAAAATTAACTTCATGCTAACATTCTTTAATCAGTATACATACATGGTCCATACCTGGTTTAACAGCTCGTCCACATAACTGGGGCTGTAGAAGAACTTGCAACATGGCAGGGTTGTTTAAACTTTTCATAATTTGTACTGGATTTGGCTCTGGAAGTAAGCCCTTTTGATTACTGTGCATCTGCAATGAATATAGAAATAAGAAACATTAGAACAAGCATAAGTACAAAAGACATAATTTCAAAGGCTTTCTTCTAGAAATTCTCGTTCATCTGACAAGATCTATTTTATGATAAACATAATTTGATTTATATTATATATCTATTTTATACTCTCTACCACAGTTCTCAATTACACATACAGCAAAAAATCCTCATAGAACGTCTCAAGTAAATACCAACTGGCTTTAAGAGGACTGACAATTTAGTACAATGAGTCTCATCATATCATACAAATAGAAGGATGACAAGGGAATCTTAAGTTATTAATAACTTGTTAACACAATATGAATACTTTGATACTACAGAAGAGCCTTCTTATAATGTTGATTTAAAGTTTAATTGGCCAGGCAAAGTGGCTCACACCTGTAATCGTGGCACTTTGGGACGCTGAGGCGGGAGGATCACTTGAGCCCAAGAGGTCAAGATCAGCCTGGGTGACACAGTGAAACCCTGTTTCTGTATTTTACAAATAAAAACTTCAAATAAAAATAAAATGAAGTTTAATAATGTGGGTTGCCTTATAATTCAAAATCTTCTTATTATTTTATTTTATTTTTTGAGACGAGTCTCACTCTGTTGCCCAGGCTGGAGTGCAGTGGCGCCATCTCGGCTCACTGCAAGCTCCACCTCCCGAGTTCACACCATTCGCCTGCCTCAGCCTCCCAAGTAGCTGGGACTACAGGCGCCCGCCGCCACGCCCAGCCAATTTTTTGTATTTTTAGTAGAGATGGGGTTTCACCGTGTTAGCCAGGATGGTCTTGATCTCCTGACCTCGTGATCCACCCGCCTCGGCCTCCCAAAGTACTGGGATTACAGGCATTAGCCACCACGCTTGGCCCAAAATCTTCTCTTTTATAAAGGTCTTTACTTGATTAATTTAGTATGAGATTAAAATGAGCTGGCCTTACATACATGCAATTGAGTAGTTTCCTAAAAATATGAAATAATTTTCAGTTTTAAAAACCAGCTTGATGGACAGGGATATTAATATATATAATTACATAAAAGATAAAAACTTTTAGCTATGAGAAAACGGAGAACTGACAAGGACAACTGGAAACTTTTGCCAACCCAGATACTGCGAAATTGAGAGGGAGAAGGTGATGCATCCAAGAAACTGACATAAAGCCTGTGAGAAACCCCTAGGGAGATAGAAGATGTGAAGGTAAACATCAGCAGAGAGCATGAGAGTGCATGGGTCCACACACAGGATAATTCAGGGAAGGGCTTTTGAGTTGTGTTTGCCTTGAGAGAGCGTGGCTTTCTTGGCCAGGACAGCAAGGTGGGAAAAGAGCAGCATCAGCCCAGTGACAGCCATAGGACCAACGAACAGCAGGATGGCACGCAAGTGCAGAGACAATGGGGACAAGATAACACTAGGCGGGCAGACCAGCTGGTCACTGAAAACCTTCCCACCTCCCCGACCTTCTCAGGTCCTCCCACACCCACTCTGCAGGATAGAAGAGTTATAGCGGAGGAAGGAAGAACTTGGAGAAGAGCAGGGGTGGAAATGGAAATGAAGAGAGGCTCTCTAAGGTGCAGGGCTGCCTGGCTGGGGTAGGAAAAGTGCTGGGCTCAAGCCTAGATGGTGAAGGCAGAACTTCTCTGCCCTGAGGTCCTTGCCTGCCTTCCCTAAACCCTAGCTAAGACCAGGCTTTAGCTTCCCTCTGTCCATCCCCCTCCCCACAACCTCTAAACAGTGACATACAGAAAGGTGATAGCCCCCACAGGAAATTTATATTCATACATTCAAAAGAAAAATAGCTCGACATTTGGAGAATGCAGTCACTAAGAAATAAAAGCAACAAACTGAACCACCTATAAGACAGAAAGCAGAATCATGAATGGGAAATAATAAGAATGTCAAATAAATGTAATAGACATTACAAAAATAAAATGGATTTTTACTCATAACATGAAGGAAGGACATGCAGTTATAAAGAATAACCACTGAGAAATGCTAGATTATGAAAAACATTAAGTATTGAGAAAAAATAATAGCAGCCCTCACTTACTATAGACTTGGCATTGTTCTAAACACTTTACATGAATTAGATCATTTAATCCTCAAAAAGCCAATTCTATGAAGTTGGTATTATCTCCATTCTATAGATAAAGAAACTGAAGGAATTCATGAAGCATTATTATTACCCTGTGCTTTAACAGATAGGTTAAATAGTAGAATACATGTGACTAAAAAACAAAATAGTAATTTTTTTTTTTTTT